AATCTGCCACTTCCTTACAGAGCCCCTCCTCCAACACACACGAACGCGCACATGACCAATGAGGGCACGAGATAAGTTTGTGCACTGATGGAAGGCTGACAGGCAGGTAGGCCATCCAGTTATTTTAGCCGGGCCGGCTCAAATGATTGGTCGTGCTTTTTACAGTACTACGGCTTCCACAGATAACATTTTTTTATGGATTTGTTGTCAAAGCACTTCAGATATTCATTGCCAGTGGCGAGCCGTCAGGGCCCTCTAGGCCCTCTGTGAGGGCCTAAGATATTCTAAAAAATTATATTTAAAAACATTTAAAAAATATATATTTTTTTTAAATATATATATTTTTAATATTATTTTTGTTATATTTTTCATTAGTTTTACCGAAAAAAAACTTGATTTAATTGTATTTAAAATAACATTTCCAAAGAAATAAATCCTTCGAATCTGCTTGATCAGTCTCTGTTGAATGTGAAGGGTTACATGAAAGAAGCTCGTCTCTGCGAGGTGAAGACAGGAGCTGATTGGTCCAGCTGTGAATTCACAGAGGGTCGCTATAGTAACTGAACGAGAGAGTAATGTCAAATGACAGTACAATTGACCAATCATATCTTCCCTCTAAATGGGTGGGTTTTATTATCGCGGACTTTATGACAAGTTCCGCCCGCTGTGAAACTTTTCTTGTTTCCATAGCAACAACAACTTCCTGTCAACAGCGTGAACTCGCCTTCAAAATAAAAGCATGCCAAATTACACTTAAGACATACAACTGCAACGAAAGTAACAAACACAATGCAATATCATTTTCAATGTCAAAGAACACAAATTGGGTTCACAGGTGTTGTTTTGTGTGGTAGAGGGTCATTGATGCGTTTTGCACCCTGGGCCGTTGTTTTGATATTCCGCTGAAGTATACGCTGTGATGTAATAACTATTTTTTTTTCTTTTTTTCGAGGGAATTGGGTGGGGGTCAGAGGGCCTAGGTATAAAGCTCACGGCTCGCCACTGTTCATTGCTATCGGGATGTTAAGAGCATTCCATGGAATATAACAAAAAGTGTATCTGAAATAAATTCCATACCCCACCTTTAAGCTTACAGGTGAATTTGAGGCTATTCACATGTAAGCTAGTTGATGTTTATATACATGTATATTATCCCAGCAAATAATATTCCAGAAATAACCACATAAGGAAATTGGATTTCATAATAACAACATAATGGGCCCTTTAATTAAGAAATATTGGATTATATTTCATGGTTTCACCTGTACAGTGTTGGAAAATAACTGCATTTACTCAATTTCACATTTGAGATACTTATACTTAACCCAAGTATTTACATGTTATACTACTTTATACATGTATTCTACTGAATTTTGGAAGCAAATACAACAATACATCACATTTATTTTACAGATGTATTTACTAGTTACTTTGTAAATTCAGATTTTGACAAACAAAATGTAGGGACAACTTTTCAAATGTATGATTATTTGCTATAGATTAAACATCCAACACTATATTTAACTTACTGAAACCATGAGTGGGTTAAAAGAAAATGTATTTGGAAGTTTTTTGTTCGAAAGTATTTCACAGATCCAGTTCCTTCAATGTGTTTTTAGATATTTTCTAATGTTATGCTAATAGCTAGCTAGCTAACCGTTGGTGCCAATTTGCGTCAAATGTGTTTCTCTTTCTCCGACCTATAACTCGGTCAAATCTGAACACACAGACATGACACTTATAATTATAGAATCATTGTGACTTACACTTTGCTGGGATGTCTTTGTTGTTGACCTCCATCCTGAAGGAAATCGACAAATCCGCTCAGAAATCAGAGGAAAAAAGACGCCTCTCTGCACAGGACTGCAGAACCGGCCCTAGAATGATCACGTTTCTACGTTTTATTCAGTATGAAAATAATTTAACGATAGTTGTCTGTACATTTATGGGTACATTGCAAAGAGTACCTGCTCATAGATAATTCGGCATACTTTTAATGGTGCTAATTGACTTTAATGAAATACAGGTTAGAAATACAGGTGTGTGGCCAAAAAGCTAAATTGACTCAACGCAGCATTCTACTTCCTGTTTACGTCAATAGCCGTAACCCCGACATTGTGGGATTTGAAGTCCTAAAACTTCATGTTTATCTTAAGTAAAGTACATTTGTATCTAAGGTTAAGTTATAATGTTTTGAATAACTGAATTACCATTAAAGGTAGGGTAGGTAATTCACTTCAGAAACACTTGTTGTTGTATTCCATTCCGATAGCAATGAATACATTAAATGCTTTGACAATAAATACATTAAAAAATTCATCTGTGGAAGCCGTAGCGCTGTAACGGCCCGTCCACACGGCAGCGTGCGTTGCTTCAACAGAGACGCTTCCCATTCACTTTGAATGGGATGACGTCACGCTTTGCCGAACTGCATTGTGGTTCCGTCGCGTCGCTTTGCCTCCGTTGCTCGCTTCGAAAGTTGAGAAAAGCGTCAACGGAAGTGCCAGCCAATCAAATCATATGCCAGTACAAGCTCTAGCCAATCAAACCGCATGCTTGTGTGTCCGGAGCGGGAGATTAATGTGAATGGTTGTTGGTCGCACGCCAGACACGCCCACCGGAAAGCTTCAACGCACGCTGCCGTGTGGACGTACCGTAAAAAGCAAGTCCAGGCCTACCTGCCTGTCAGCCTTCCATCTGTGCACAAACTTATCTCGTGCCCTCATTGGTCATGTGCGCGTTCGTGTGTGTTGGAGGAGGGGCTCTGTAAGGAAGTCTGAAGGAAGGGGCAGATTTTTTTCGGTTGTGTACTTTCAAATTCTAGCGCACTCGAGCTGCTTTCTCCATTCTTAACGACCCTACCTTTAATGTATATAAAATATTTAAACATGTACAAAATGTAGCTATCAACATTTTTAGGCCTTATTTCATGATTTGCAATTTTTTCATTTGTTTTAAACGTACAAGGAAGTTGCTTTGATGAATTGATGCATAACATAAACACAAAACCAAAAATATGTCCTACTTCATTACGCAACACGGACTTCCTGCACAGGGTGTTTAAAACAGCCAAAAATAAAATATTAAACATATATATGTGTTGTTTCTTGCTCTTGGGATTTAGACAATTTCATAAACCTTTCAGCAAAATGCATTAATCTTTGGCACTTTAGGAGAAAATTAAGATATACACTAATACTTAGTTTGCTTTAGTAAAACACACACACACACACACACACACACTCATGACGCGGCGGGTCGTACAGGTGTTGTTCTGCTTCCTGTCTGCAAACACAAAGAGCTCAGCTAAATATAGATCCTTATCACACAAACACACCCACCCACACACACACAAACACACACACCCACCCACACACACACACACACACACACACACACACACACACACACACACACAAACACACATACACACAAACACACCCACACACCCACACACACACACACCACACACCACACACACACAAACACACACACACCCACACACACAAACACACACACAAACACACACACACACACACACCCACACACACACACACACACACACACAAACACACACACACACCCACACACACACACACACAGTGGGAAGTTTGCTGCTGTTACTGTACTTCCTGGTGTCACCTGTGTGGGAAATCCCTTCGCAGGTTAATCCCTGCAACAGGTAGGTGTGTGTGTGTGTGTTCTTGTTATTGGCCTTTGTGAGGACCATGAGGCATTCACTTTACTTGCTTAACAGGTTAATCTATTATTTGTATCTGCACGGGTTGACAGCGTGGGAAGGCTTTGTGTAAACTAGGATTGTTGTTTTATGATTTCATATAATTATTTTTTAGTATCCTTTTATTATCTGGTGTTTTTTTTTAAATAATGTATTAAAAATAAAAACAGTAAAATATGAGACGGCTTTTCAAGTGCATCGACTAACCTTTTAATTGTTTTTCAATTATTGGTCAATAAGGGGATTCTCCCAACAAACATACACACACACTTAGATGTATATACACTCATACTGTAAACACACACACACACACACACACACACACACACACACACACACACACACACACACACACACACACACACACACACGCACACAGGAGCTGAAACTCCACCCACAGAACTGAAAGTGGGTTAATGTCTCGTCTCCTACTTGTGGTGTTTGCAAGATTCTGCACCAGTTTGATATACAGGTCAGCGTGTGTGTGTGTGTGTGTGTGTGTGTGTGTGTGTGTGTGTGTGTGTGTGTGTGTGTGTGTGTGTGTGTGTGTGTGTGTGTGTGTGTGTGTGTGTGTGATCAGATGAGATCTTTATCTGCTCTGATAAGATCCTAACGTGTGAGTATACATACGATATTGGTGATATTGTGGAAGTTATGTAACTTGTGTTAGGAATATGTTTTGCTTGTCACTGTCGTGGCCATTACACAAGAATGTGGAAAGGATGTAAAGAAAGCTATTTATTATAATTACAGACTAAGGGACCAACCGACATGAGGTGGGTTAGTCAGTAACATCAGTAACACATTACATGTCACTTGTTAGACACTTTTACCCAAAGACACTTACATGCACTCAGTACTGTAGACAATCCCCACAGGAGGCATTTGGGGGAAAGCTTCTCGCCCAACGACATGCTGACTGCAGTGGGGATTGAACCAGTGCTCCCCTGATTCAAAGATCAACGTACCACTGAGCCACAGCCAGCCTCCATGTATTATGTATTTTGGTTTATCTTTACCTTGAAATAAAAAAATGTTTTACACGTTACCTTTTTTTTGTTGGCATTTAAATATTTATTCATGCATTTATATATTTTTTATTATGTTGTCTTTTCATTATTATTTATTTTGTTGCACTTTACTATAAATTGTATTTTGTACCATTTTGCTCCTCTTTAGTCAATCATAATAAACAGCAACATGTCATTTAAATAATTCCCGTAATTAAAGATTGTTCCACAAACACCAATCAGAGTCAAAATTCATATTCAAAACCAAACTTTATTTATTTTCAAGTAGATCTGGTAACACACAGCTTGCTCCCCGCAGAGTGTAACGTTTAAATACCTCCTCCTTCATCATAATAAAATAATTTAAATATGAATAATCAGCCATAAGATGGCAAAGGGATGAACACCAGAGTCTCTCGGCTCCGGCATTAAAACTTCCTGATCAATAAATCGATCAAACACTAATCCTTCGAACTCGAGTCAATATAAATACGTTGTAGAAAAACACTCAATTTAGAAAATAAATACAGGTATAAAAGTCGCTGTTAAAAAAGGTGAGACATCTGATGAAGAGGACGTTTAGTTTTCGGTGACGGTGGCGTTACTGCGCAGAACGCAGAAGTCCTGCAGGTACATGAAGAGGATGTCGATTTCTCCGACCGCCTTGTTGAGGCCCCGCTGCTTCGGTTCCAGCTGGGACACAGAGACACAATCAATACAGGGACACAGTCAATACAGGGACACAGAGACAATTCAATTACTTCAGGAGGATTAGCAGTAAAGACACAACATCTCGTCTCCGTGTCTGAACGATGTGACGGTGTTTTTAATCAGGAATAATTTGGGGGTTAAATTCTCACCTTGGCGAGCTTCCTGCGAAACTGCACGGCGTGATGATGGTCTTGATAATGAGTCACGTTCTACAGGAACAAAGAAACACAGCAGGTTAGCAACTGTGTGTGTGTGTGTGTGTGTGTGTGTGTGTGTGTGTGTGTGTGTGTGTGTGTGTGTGTGTGTTGTGTGTGTGTGTGTGTGTGTGTGGTGTGTGTGTGTGTGTGTGTGTGTGTGTGTGTGTGTGTGTGTGTGTGTGTGTGTGTGTGTGTGTGTGTGTGTGTGTGTGTGTGTGTGTGTGTGTGTGTGTGTGTGTGTGTGTGTGTGTGTGTGTGTGTGTGTGTGTGTGTGTGTGTGTGTGTGTGTGTGTTCACTTGCTAATCGAAACCACAGAAAGCCGATATCAATTTTAAGATCAACCTCATTGCCACCACACACACACACACACACACACACTGTGTATTGTGAGTATGAATCTCAAGCAAGCACACCGTTAGCTTAGCTTAGCATAAAACGGGGTGAAACCACAAGGACAATATGTTTAAAATAAGCTATTTATATACATTTTGGACAAATTCAGGGTTTTCATTTCATTTTTCTGTTAGCTCTTTGGTTGTTTTGACTGTAATTACAAACATGATGATGTCAGATGTAATGATCATTTAGAGGTATGGGTAAAGGTAGTTATATTTCTAAACTTTGGGCAAAGCCAGGCTAACAGTTTCCCTTTGTTTCCAATCTTTATGCTAAACTATGCTAAGCTAAGCTAACCGGCTACTGACTGAAGCTTTGTATTTACCAAAATAAAGGTAAATAATAATGTTAATTTGGAAATGTTGGTGAAGGTAGGAATATCTTCTAGGCTAGCAGTTTCCCTCTGTTTCCAGTCTTTATGCTAAGCTAAGCTAGGCTAACCGGCTAAGTTTAAAACACTCACGCAGCCTTGGTTCTGCAGGTCCTCGCTGACCCGGTTCATGTCCACCCTCAGGCGGGTCATGTTGGGATGAACGTGGTGTCCGTGGTGCTGGTTCAGGATGTTGTTCAGGTAGAAGTCCAGGATGTTAGCGTGGAGGCAGCAGATCTTCATGTGATCCTGGAGGAAAACTACGTTATTTTGAGGTTGTTTTAAGGTTTTTAATAATAACACATGACACTTATATAGCGCTTGTCTAGAAACTCAAAGACGGTTTTACAGAGACCAACACAAAAACAACGAGAAGGGGGGAAAGGTCAGAGTTTGAATGCAGTGAGGGAGGATGGGTTGGGGTAGTGAACTCCATAGGGTGGGATTTTATAATGTGTTGTTGTTGTTGTTTGTTTGTGTACCTGGTCGGTGTTGACTCTGGGCATCAGCCTGGAGCTGGAGTCGTCCTCCGTCTGCAGACCCTGAGCCTGAAGAAATAAAAACACATATTAAAATAAAGACTTGAAAATCATACATTTATTAAGATTTTTTTTGTAATTGTATTTATTCTAACCGTTTGATCAAATTGAGTTCTTATTGTCCGTCTTATTTTGTATTATTTCTGTCTTTTTTTAATGTATTCCCGAGAAGTAAATGCAGGCTAAATAATTACAAGTTTTTAAGCCTTTTACATCTTTCCAATAAAATAAATACTTTGAGGAAATACTGAATACATTCATTATTTAAGTTGTGTTACGCTAAACAATATGAGGTCTAAAAATACTGGAATTAACACCTGATTTTTTTCTAATTTGGGATATAATTAAAATCTTTCTTATTTTTGTTAGTTTTTTACTATTTCTCTCAATTTAATAATTATTAATGCTGTCTTTTCTTTACTTTCACTTTTATATTTCATGATTGTACCTTGTTGTGTGTACAGGACTCTTTTAAATAAGTGTATTATTATGATGTCTATATCTACGGAGTCACATAAGTGCCAAAAAGACAACATTTTAAAATACATTTGAATAAGATTAGCTTCTAAATGAAAGTCAAAACGTTCAGATTAAAAGCCAAAATACTGATATCAAAGAAAGATTTAAGACGCACAACTTGCACCAAAGTATTCAATTCTTTAACTCACGTGTTTGGAGATGTCCTGAACGGCCTGGTGCGTCTGGGGGTTTCTTAACGGCTCACTGAGCGACCGGTCGACAGGAAGTGATGCCGCCTGCTCGGCCCAGCCAATCAGAAGCAGCGGAAAGAGAACCAACACGGCGGCGGTGGCGGCGGGACGGAGGAAGGAGACGGCGGCGGAAATCATCTTCATCTTTCAGATCGATTCAATTATCTTTAGAGAGAGAGTTTTCTTCACTGCAAGAACAAACACAACATTAATATAAAGTATAATTGAAATGCTGCGATACAGAGAGTCTGATAAGATAAGATAAAATGAACAGTGTGTGTGTGTGTGTGTGTGTGTGTGTGTGTGTGTGTGTGTGTGTGTGTGTGTGTGTGTGTGTGTGTGTGTGTGTGTGTGTGTGTGTGTGTGTGTGTGTGTGTGTGTGTGTGTGTGTGTGTGTGTGTGTGTCCTCACCTGCTGGCAGATGCTGTGTGAAGTTAACTCTGTGCTCCGTCTCTTTATACAGATCCAGATCAATCCTCCGCCCACCTTTTCAGAAATATAGGACAGGTAACCATCCAAAAAACCCCAAGACACACACACACACACACATGGAGGTCACTGCTGATGGTGTAATCTGTGTTTACTGTCACTTACACCTCACAAAGAGGAAATTGACTGTCACTCAAAATGTGACGACAATAATGTCATCAATTTTTTCACAAAAGAGCATTTTTAATTACTTACTACTTCGCCACTGACATCACTTCCTCGTTTCGGTTTTCCAGGCCATTGTGTGTGTGTGTGTGTGTGTGTGTGGGTGTGTGTGTGTGTGTGTGTGTGTGTGTGTGTGTGTGTGTGTGTGTGTGTGTGTGTGTGTGTGTGTGTGTGTGTGTGTGTGTGTGTGTGTGTGTGTGTAAGTTGTTAGGTAAACTTCCCTCAGAAGAATAACAAACGTGTTTAACCAGCTCTGCTCGATTCATATGATGCAACATTCATTACTCAACGTACCTCCAAGTGCAGCGTAATTAACTTTTTAATTATTAAAATGACATACATGACGTGGTAAAGTCGACACACACAGTTTAATGGTTCAGTAACTCAAACAAACATGGAGTAAATCACGTATGTTTTGTGTTTATGGCTGCAGGATTTCATCAATAAAGTTTATTTATAGAGCGCATTTGAAAAGACAAACAGGTGACTTAGAGACAGAACAATAACCTGCTTTTATTCAAGTTTGAGGAAAATCATATCTAACATCGTTAAACAGTTCCAATATTAACAGATCTTTTCCAGAACTTTTTAATTTCGCAGTTATATTTGATATTTCCAGCAACAGGGCGGCTGTGGCTCAGTGGAAAGTGTGCTGGACTTCGAATCAGGGGGTAGCAAGTTCGAGTCCCACTGCAGTCAGCATGTCGTTGTGTCCCTGAGACACTTCACCCCAAAGTGCTCCTGTGGGGATTGTCCACAGTATTGAATATATGTAAGTTGCTTTGGATAAAAGCGTCTAACAAATGACATGTAATTTGTATTGTCTACGTTAAGCGTGTTAGCATGCTAATACCAGCTAGCATCTTTAGCTACTGATGTACTTTATGTTGTAACGTATATTAACCAAGCCCCCAGGAAGTGCGCCGGACTCTGTGCCCAACATTCGTTGTGTCCAAACGGCGGTACTGCAACTTCCGTATCAGTCCGTGACGTCACCCGGCCCAGAAAGACTTTTCCCCATTGACTAACATTTTTGTAACTAAATAAACTTCCAAGTATGAACTATTTTATAGCCCTTAATAGAATAATGTGGTCTTTAAAGTTGTAAAATGCACTAAAAGCCGAATTTATTTTCTGTCTCCATTCATTCTAGTGAGCCGAGAGCGGGAGCTCGGGGGGCGGGGCTTAAGGGGCGCATGCTCTGTGAGCGCACATACGGGTTCTTCTGCTCTGACAGCTAGGCATGATGTGTTACGATCTGTCTGTGTTGGGTTTTTTCTTGTCTTTTTCTGTCTTTTGTTTCCTGTTTTGTTTTGAAAAGTGTTCACCCCTGTCCTGCCTGATTGCCCGATTGTGTTCACCTGGTGCCCCTGTGTTTTCTCCTCCCTCCTCACCTGTGTCTTGTTTGTGTGATTGGTCTTGTGTGTATTTTAGTTCTGGTTTTTCTGTCTGTCATTGTTGGTTCATTGTTGGTATTTGACTGTGTGTCACAGGGTAGTGTTCTGTGTTCTACTTCGTACCTTGAAATAAAGGAATATTCTTGGAGATCTGCATTTGGGTCCTGCCTGCTACTCAACCCTGACATGATGGGTAATCTGGGACGTTTCGCTCTCTCAAAAGTTGGGCCATTTTGTCCTCATGCGCCAATGAGCAGCTCTCATAGGAAAGAACGAGACCCCGCCTCCCACGCTGTATCCAGTTCTTATTAAACATCCATGGTATTAACCCCAGACCTTAATTCATAAACCAAAAAACTATTTAAAAAACCATTGAATTCAAGACAAGAAAACCAGAAGAGCAAGAAAAATGCTAAATAACTTCCGTGTTTTAGGTAAAAATAAGGGAATACTTGACGAACAGAAGCAGGATTTGTAAGGAGTTAAAGCCCTTCATCATCAGCAAAACTGTGACAATAAACGCGGTGTTTGCCGAGGAAATACCCAATAAATGACACTTTAATTTGATATTTATCAGGTTTGATGTTTACCATCTTTTATCCGTTACAGCAGCAATTTTTGGGCAAATCATTTAAAGGTCCTGTTAAGGAATAATTCTTCTAGATATCTAACCTTTTGCTCTGTGACGTTTTATGATCTACTCTGACGTCTGTTATCTCCTTTAAGGAAAGGCATTGGTGCCATATGTGTTGTTGTCACCAGTGTGTGACCGGTCAACTTGTCTGGCACGAAGGGTACTTGTTGTGAGAACACTGAGGCACTTCTTTATCGGTGTTTGTGGACTCTAAGATGTGAAATCTTTGAGGCCATGAGTGTCGGACGCAGGTGGCTCAGTGTTCCCAGCTGTTTAGTCTACTCCTTCAGAGATGTTGATTACTCTCTGTGAACCAGTTAAAAGGTCTAGCATAGAGAGAGGCTCTTCAGAATTGACGTGGCAACTCTACCGTGTAGTCAGAACCTCTGACTCTTTGACTTGTGATGTGAATCCTCCGGCCGAATACTCTGAATAAACCCATCAGTGTTTGACATCAAAGCTCCAGCTCTCACCGTGTCTCCTTCCTGAGTCGGTGACTCCATGCATTGCTACACAGAAGTTTCCCCCACAGGTCCCATGTCATGGCCATTTCTACTGATCATAATTCCATTGTTGAGGTCTACTAGAATATATTTACATTGTTAAATTTTCCAAACTCACATTGGTTTCTCATACAGCATCTCTGTATAGTATGTGTTAGTTTCATTATAGCAGCATTTTAAGGCCATTATTTCAGACAGAAATAAGGGAATACAGGACACAAAATGGCAGGATTTAAACCCCTTCATCACGTCAGCTAACTTCTTTGTAAATTGTATTAGCAATAAACCTTATTTCATGAATAAAAAATTATTAAATTCAACACAAGAAGATCAGGAGTGCAAGAAAGATGCTAACTAGTTTCATTATAGCAGCATTTTAAGGCCATCATTTCAGACAAGAAAAAGGGAATAGAGGACGTACAATGGCAGGATCTAAAGCCCTTTATCCTGTGCAACACGGTGGAAACAGTGGCGTGTCTGCAGGTAAAACCCCTCAAGCATGAAGAATAAAAGACGCCTCAGATCTGATCTAAACTTGGCTGCAGTCGTTGAGTTTTTCCTGGCAGCGTTTTTCTAGCCTATTATTTCCCCAGGTGAACAGGGAAGGATCGGGTGTTCGGGTGCTTTTTCTTTATGACTTCATGGTTGTTTTGTGCCTGACGAGGGTGTGAGGGTCCCTCAGAGACCGACGAAAGGAATACAGAGTGAGAGGAAACACTTGAGGAGATTTAACCAAAAGATATCACTATGAAACTTTCCCCTGTTCATTTCCGACACTAAAACTTTTCTGAAGATGCTGGATATGCAAATGAGGCGTTATGTAATGATAGCTTTTGGTCAATTTAATAGAAATGTCAATGATAAAAAAGAGTAAATCAACTCCTAAATGTGGATTTTGGATGATTTCTTTACAAAACACTCTCCAAAAAAATTGGATTGAGGTTTCATCAAGCTCCCAGGAAGTGCGCCGGACTCTGAGGAAAATATTAGTTGTGGCCAAACGGCGGTACTACACTTCCGTATCAGTCGCTGGGCCCAGAAAGACCTTTCCCCATTGACTAACATTGGGAAAGAGACGTCTGTAAATCGTTGGATGATTTTTTTTAAACTAAATAAACTACCCAGTATGAACGTTTGTATAGCCCTTATTAAAAACATTCGGTCCTCAAGTTGTAAAATGTGCTAATAACGTTATTCTGAGAGTTATTTTCCTCTGCATTATGAACGCGGATCTAACCCACGCCGCCCGGCACGTTCATGTGACGTGTTCAGCACTACATGAGTTGTACCTTTACCCATGGACGCACAATAAGAACGGATGATATGATTATATGAATACTTTCGTGATGTTTCGCTCTCTCAAAAGTTGGGCCATTTTGTCTTCATGCGCCAATGAGCAGCTCTCATAGGAATGAACGAGGCCCCGCCTCCCACGCTGTATCCAGTTGTTATTATACATCCATGGGTTTCATGCCTTAAAGTACGGAAGAGGATTAGGGCCAAATGTGACGAGATGAGTTGTGAGAAAAAAGTTGTAATTGTTAGAAGAAAAAAAAATCCAAGAATTCCAAAAATTAAAGTCAGAATATCGAGATTTTCAGAAAAAACGCAGAATTCTAAGATTTTTCTAAAAAAGTCAGAATTTCTTGATAATCCAAAAAAATTCTGAATACCGACTTTTTTCCAAAAACACAGAATTCTGAGATTTTTCTGGAAAAAAGAATCAGGATTCCCCCAAAAAACATCCGTATTCTAAAATGTTCTAAAAAAAGTCAAGTTTTTTTTTTCTTTCTCAGAATCCTGACCTTTTCCTCAGAACTGAAATATTTCTCTTATTGGTCAGATCTCACATTGTGTTCACACTGACACTAATCCTCTTCCGCAGTGACTCATGTGAAACGCCCACATGAGAAACTCACTCTGGATTAAGTCTAATTTTCTCTCTTGAACTGTAGTTTCCCCGCTGCAGCAGCTCCTTCATCCTCCCACGGATGCTGCGGCTGATTATTTAGCACAATTTATATTTCCGGCTCCTTAAACTCTTGAATGAAATCAGGTGTCTCATCAGCTCTGCGTCACAACGAGAAGCCAATCATGACCTGTCGCAATGTGTCGTACGTACGAGAGCGAGGTAACAATGAGAGGGGAATCACCAAAACAATGGAGACGTTTGGAGATTAATTCAATCATTTAAGAAATATTATTCTATTAGGCAATCTCAGGATGTGTTGTGCATAAAGGAGAGACTACAGGGTGAAGACATGTCACAATGAAACTTCCCCTGTGGAAAACTGGCATTAAAAAGGAGCATTATTTGTATACCGAATTGTTCTTAAATATTTAAATGAGGTATTTTTGTATTAGCTTTTATTTTGCAAACTTTTCCAGTTCTCTCCGTCCTCTCTCCCTCTGGATTTCATACACGTTTCCTTTAATGCAGGCGGCAGTGGCTCAGTCTTTTTCATGCTTTTATTGTCATTTGTGCATACAGTAGCTAAAGTGTAGTTCAGTCAGACAACTCACGTGTTTCTTAATATGTTTATTAGAAGCAGCGTATAGTTTGAGTTTGGCGTCTAGGCTCGGGCCTCATCACTCCACAGATTTACAAAGAACATTGAGTGATGCTTAGATAACTATCCCCCGAGCCCCATTTATGACAATGAAAATCTGAGGTCACTTTGAATAGTTGGTTTCTCTTAGGAACCTTCCTGACGGAGTGAAATGACCCGGAAGTCCCTCAGTGGCAGCCATGATAAGAGCCGTTTGAATTCTCTAGATGGTAGGAAAGGAGCTTTGAAACTTCCTTTATAACCTCCTTTAGCTTAGGAACCACTGGACCTTCCTTTGGGAAAGGAAAGGAGAAAATGCTGACCCACAATGCCTTGCATCAGCATTTACCGTGACACAACATTCGGCCGTTAACGGAAACAACCGATCAGTTTTTTTTAATTTCAGTTCCAACCTAATGAAGAGTGTACGTCCCACTGTTGTCCACGGTCATCAAGCCTGCATAGAACCACACCATAATAGTTTCCTAAGTCTTTTTGAATTCTCCTATCCACTATCCCTTAACCCCGTGACACAGAGGTCAAGGAATAGTGGATAGGAAGAGACGATAGGAGGTGATTTTTGGACAATTCGACCGCAACCAAGGTCTTTGAACAAGTGAGTGGACTGCCTCTTAAGCCCTGAGCCTGTTTTTCAGGTCTCAGGCTTGAAAATGACATTCCCAGAACAAATGACCATATCTTCCCTTCTAAAAGGGTTAAATTAATAATCTTTATTCTCAAAGTAATGATAAACCTGTGAGTTGGATGTAGAAAAGTCAGAATCAATATAGATGTTTTTTATTTTAAAGAAAATTCAGATTTTACATAGTAAAAAACTGTAAATTATAGTGTCCGTCCAAAAGTTATTTTTTACTTATAGTGAAAACTACCCTTGGATGATGGGTTAGTAGACTAAAAGCTTTAGGAATCCAAAGTACAACATATAAGAAGTACCCTGTATCGAGATTGATGCAAAACAAGTGACATTTGACCTTTTTAGAGAGACTTAGCCAAAAACCCCACTTCTGGGGTCATTTGGGTGGATTTGACCTATCTCTGGCCCCCCTTGGTCGATTTTGATGAATGAAATCTCTTTATAACCGCTAGAGCCAATGGAATCGAGGGAAAGTTATATACACACCAAAACGTTAACAAATAAGGAGTGAGAGTGACGCGTTACCAAAACCGGAAGCTGCATACACTCTGGTGGCTACCATTAGCAGCTAACTTTTCCGCTCCGATTTTTACATAAAAATGGAATTATGGATTATAAATAATTTTTTAAAAGGTACAGGTACATTATCAACCTATGGATCAACAGTTGTAGACATTTTTTTTTTTCGTTTTAATGCCATTGAACACGTCTTTTGACCTAATTGACAGCTACGGTGAGACGATCTGCCGTAAAAGCTCCGTAAAGGTACGTGTTGTGATGTCTGTGTTTGCTTCCCCTGTCGCAAGTTCGGATCGCTCAGTGATGATACTATACCTAAATAATCAGTGGAGTCTCAGCTTTAATCGGCTATATTGTATGTGCAGCTATGATAAGTAATAAGCGTATTTTTATCTTGAATTGTGTGCCGCAGTGCGTTAGAATTTTTTCGCTCAGGGGTCATTTAGACGCTTCTTATGAGACTTGTGTTTTGTTTTGGTAAAAATGGTTCACATCTTCAGTTAGCTGAGATTCTTCCCGTTAATCTGGTGCTACACATTAATAGTTTCATAAATGTTAAGAAGCCCTGAGACATTATCTCGAAAACAAAAAGGTGGGAGGGGTCCAATGGGGGGACCGCCGTGCTTAAGAGGTTAGGAACCTTCCTGACGGAGTGAAATGACCCGGAAGTCCCTCAGTGGCAGCCATGATAAGAGCCGTTTGAATTCTCTAGATGATAGGAAAGGAGCTTTGAAACTTCCTTTATAACCTCCTTTAGCTTAGGAACCACTGGACCTTCCTTTGGGAAAGGAAAGGAGAAAATGCTGACCCACAATGCCTTGCATCAGCATTTACCGTGACACAACATTCGGCCGTTAACGGAAACAACCGATCAGTTTTTTTTAATTTCAGTTCCAACCTAATGAAGAGTGTACGTCCCACTGTTGTCCACGGTCATCAAGCCTGCATAGAACCACACCATAATAGTTTCCTAAGTCCTTTTGAATTCTCCTATCCACTATCCCTTAACCCCGTGACACAGAGGTCAAGGAATAGTGGATAGGAAGAGACCGCAACCAAGGTCTTTGAACAAGTGAGTGGACTGGTAGCTACCTGCATGTTGCGTGTTTGTATATCCCGTCTGTGTGTGTAATGTCTGTAAACACAACCTATTAAACCCATATTTTTCATTAACAAAGCATGTTTTTTTCTCCTGATAGCGAGTTCACGTGACGCTGAACTGACGGCTCTACATTGTTTGTTCTCTCTTTGCAGCGAGAGGAGGGGAACCACCGTCAGCTGGTTGATAAAACCACCCCCTGATAAAGATCACACCTGGAAGTGATGACGTCTTTCAGTGTTTAGCTTTCAATACGACAGGAAGACAGGAATTTTGTTGTGAATTCCCAACTTAATAAAGACGGATGAGACGTACGGTCCGGAGGAACTGAGGTACGTTTATTTAACAGGGGGGTCCAACTCAAATACACGGTGGGCTAAAATTAAAAAATGGGTACTAGTCGAGGGCCGGACTGGTTCAATGTTTATTGCAGAACTTATTGAAATGAACTTATTGCACATATTCAACCTGGAACTAACAAAGCTTAAACTATTGCCTATAAAAACAACATTAAACATTAAATAATCAGTTGCATTCATTTCTTATGGTTCTATCTGCAGCGTTTCCAGAGTCATTTCTTATGAGTACATTTCTCCACAGGCCAACAACAGCTTCAACAAAACTATTCCCCTCAAAGAGAAAACCAAACATGCCCTGTTGACGTGAGAGAAAAAGTGCAGAAGGAAACATCCATGTGAACTCAGTGTGCTGCTCTGTGATGCTAGCTCAGATACTTGGCATCTCATCTTGGGTGCAAGTTCATCAATGTTTGGGGTCAGGCTCTGAGCTGAGGAGACCCTCAGGATGGAGTGAAGGTGAGCGTGAAATATACTGGAGGGTTAGATCTGATAGTAATTAGAAATGATCCTGTGGGCCGAAATTAAATCCACCAAGGGCCTGATTTGGCCCCCGGGCCTTGAGTTTGACACATGTGGTTTAAAGTCATTATGTAAATACAGCGGGGCTCGGGAAATAAACAACACAGAAATATGGAATGTTATATTTTGAGGGATTTTATTTTGCCCTTTAAACAACAATTAGACTATAAAGATGTTTTTATTTGATTTTTCATAATAACAATTTTTAATACATTTCTAGTGGGAAACGTATATCTACAAATATAAAAATATTTAAATAATAGTCAAGAACTAATCTGAATCTTCTACTTTCCTACATTATACATCACAGAGCTGATTTTATTTAGAAACACATCTTCAAACACAAATCAAAAATAAAACAAATGGGAAAAGATTTCTAAATACTGAATTATTTAAATTAATAAAAGCATCCTGTCGATGTTATTCTGTTTGTTGTAAGGGTGTGATATCATCATGTTCATTATCTGTATCTGCAATGATATGTAAATAAATATGACTACTTTTATAAGTCTGATGAAAATGATTTAAGCTTTAACGCACAGAGACGTTTAAAAATAGATACCTAGAAACAAGTATCTGCAGAAGAAGAGAGAGAGAGTTGAGAAGTACGGCAAGTTTTTGGAGAAAATACGCAAAAACCTGTCGAACGCCATCCCTTCAACAGGAGAGTTTACACTTCCTCTTCTCTCTACTTTAAAGAGTCCTCTCCTGCTGATGTTCAGGTGTATATCAGTATGTAGTGTCTCTACTTTAAAGAGTCCTCTCCTGCTGATGTTCAGGTGTATAACAGTATGTAGTGTCTCTACTTTAAAGAGTCCTCTCCTGCTGATGTTCAGGTGTATATCAGTATGTAGTGTCTCTACTTTAAAGAGTCCTCTCCAGCTGATGTTCAGGTGTATATCAGTATGTAGTGTCTCTACTTTAAAGAGTCCTCTCCTGCTGATGTTCAGGTGTATAACAGTATGTAGTGTCTCTACTTTAAAGAGTCCTCTCCTGCTGATGTTCAGGTGTATATCAGTATGTAGTGTCTCTACTTTAAAGAGTCCTCTCCAGCTGATGTTCAGGTGTATATCAGTATGTAGTGTCTCTACTTTAAAGAGTCCTCTCCTGCTGATGTTCAGGTGTATAACAGTATGTAGTGTCTCTACTTTAAAGAGTCCTCTCCTGCTGATGATCAGGTGTATATCAGTATGTAGTGTCTCTACTTTAAAGAGTCCTCTCCTGCTGATGTTCAGGTGTATATCAGTATGTAGTGTCTCTACTTTAAAGAGTCCTCTCCTGCTGATGTTCAGGTGTATATCAGTATGTAGTGTCTCTACTTTAAAGAGTCCTCTCCTGCTGATGTTCAGGTGTATATCAGTATGTAGTGTCTCTACTTTAAAGAGTCCTCTCCTGCTGATGTTCAGGTGTATATCAGTATGTAGTGTCTCTACTTTAAAGAGTCCTCTCCTGCTGATGTTCAGGTGTATATCAGTATGTAGTGTCTCTACTTTAAAGAGTCCTCTCCTGCTGATGTTCAGGTGTATATCAGTATGTAGTGTCTCTACTTTAAAGAGTCCTCTCCTGCTGATGTTTAGGTGTATATCAGTGTGTAGTGTCTCTACTTTAAAGAGTCCTCTCCTGCTGATATTCAGGTGTATATCAGTAGTGTCTCCACTTTAAAGAGTCCTCTCCTGCTGATGTTCAGGTGTATATCAGTATGTAGTGTCTCCACTTTAAAGAGTCCTCTCCTGCTGATGTTCAGGTGTATATCAGTAGTGTCTCCACTTTAAAGAGTCCTCAACATAATTACTACATACACATAATGACATAAAAGCATCTTTGACTTCATTAAAAACACAGCGTGATTATCAGCACCTTGAATCCAGCTATTTAAAAAAACATGATATTTAACTCAATCCCATAATAACTGTACAGTAGTGATTAGACTCAGCTGTGGTGGGGGTCAGAGGTCAGAGGTCAGAGGTCATCTCTTTCCCCAGAAACTCTCTCGTCTCTGAGCTCGCTGCAGGACGATGGACGCCGCCGAGCAGGAAGTCGCCGAACGCCACGACATCGCCGACAAACGGTCGTCTAGGAGTCGAGAGGACACGTTTAAATAATTAGAGAGGGTAAATAATGTACAAGACAATAACAACAACAAAAACAAGGAATATATGAACAAGCAAACAACAGGACGAATTACAGGGAAGATTGTTATAACTATTATTATTTTCTACTTATAGAACTTACCGTATTTATTAACATTATTTATAATAATATTATTATTTATGTAGTCATTAAACCTATTTATTAAAATGATCATCATTATTAACTTAATAATACTAGTTTTAATAGATATTGGTTGTTGTTGTTGTTGTTGTTGTTGTACCTTCATGGTGGCTACAGCCTCCTGAACAACACAGCTGCTCTCTGAACCTCAGCCCCAGATCACCTGAGGACACACACATTATTGATTACCTTCATTATTGATATACAGGAGGGACAGTTATTGGTATTGATGACGACTCTTTTATTCATATTTTATTTCCCAGCTCGTGATCTGAAAGGAGATCTGTTGGTGAAACTGGATGAGAAGGAGATGAAGCGAGGGGAAAACACTCGTTGATCTTATGCAAATGATTCCTCACAGATCCGGTTCTGAAGAAGCAGAAACACCTCCTTTTTGGGCCTTTTTTTAAATAAACAAAATCAGAGTTATGGACTTTCTCAGTTGTTGTTTTTTTGAAGATTTGAAAACAAGCATACAAAGCAGAGGCCTGTACTACGAATCCAGAGACCTGTACTACGAATCCAGAGGCCTGTACTACGAAGCTGGTTCAACCTAACCTGGATATGTTTGAGTTAGCCGGTTGGCCCAATCCAAAACATACGCGCTCTCGCTAAGCTGTACTACGACGCTGGTTATCAAGTGGATCGCTCAAGCCAGCCGTGTCCTATCTAGTTAGGTGCGCGTTCACATGAAAGGGGTGGTATTTGGAGCATTCGACCAATCACAAACATGGACAAGCGTACTGACAGCGCAGCGTCATACTTCCTGAATGAAAAGTCAACTATAATATTAGTCAAATATGAAGAAGTTAAACTTTAAACATCCATGACTTAAACACTTTATCCAGGATCAAAGCCACATAGCTGCACCTGCAAGGTGAATACAGCTGGTAAAAGAGAAAGTGTTTGAATGCGTACATTAACAGGTTTATGAAATCACTGCCCCGTCTAGTCAGTTGATTTTTACCGGCCGTCTTTCTGTATTTCCTCTATCCTGTAATATGACTTGATCGCTTTAAACTCCGCACACGGAGCTCTGATTGGTCAGCAGGCGGTGCTTTCACTGAGTTGATCTCTTAGCCTGCCACCTAACCTGCTCCGGACCAGGCTAGCCGCTCAGCATAAGTTACCATGGAGATCTAGCCCGCTAAGAAGAGAACCAGCGTCGTATTGAACATGCTCCAAACGGCCCGAAACTTCACAGGGTTGATAACAATGCAGCCCTCAACACATCTAGGTGTATTATAGGGTGTCATCAAATGCCGTTGCCATGGCGACAGATCCCTCGCCATGAAACATGGTCTTGTCATAACTCCATTAAACATGCTCCAAACGGCCCGAAACTTCACAGGGTTGATAACAATGCAGCCCTCAACACATCTAGGCGTATTATGGGGTGTCATCAAATGCTGTTGCCATGGCGACAGATCACTCGCCATCAAACACAATGTTTATTATACTGCTGTAACTCCTATGTACGTTGTCCGATCGGCCTGAAACTTCCCACATTTGCCAACGGCCGAGTCTTCGAGACATCTGCCTGACGTCGACGTGCGGACAACAACCTGCGGAGCGTCGAAGACCCGCTCAACGCTGCTTGCAGCTTTAATTATTGATTTTATTTGAATGAAAAACACAAAATGTATAAAAAGAATCCACCTATTCTAAAAACTAACAACACATTTAAATAATAAAATTGACAAATTGTTGACAGATATGTTGACGATTTATAGATAATCTGAATTAATATAAACAAATGATCGTAGTGATCGAACGTTTCATATTTATTTAGTGTTTTAAAGTAAATAAAATCCTCAGTTGTTTTTTTCTGGAATAATTAGAATGATTAGGCTATTTATTTATTATTTTTTTGTAAGCCAGAATAAAATTAAAAATAATAATAAAAAAGCAAAAATAAATATGTCCTGGTCGCAAAATATTTTAATATATATTATATAAGTTCTAATAGTAATAAATAAGCTCTGTTATTAGTTGGCTTCATGTTGGACTGTTGCAAAGTTTCATAAGTTTTGTTTTCTGATAAATAACTAGTAAGCAAACTCTTTTTTATATTTTGAGTTTTATTCTTCTTTTTAAGGCTAAATGTTGCCAGTTGCTGCTTTCATCTAATTTTGGGAACATTTTTTCACTGTTTTCTGATATCAGCTAGTAAACTTGATTGTTCCTGTAATTTATTCACTTATTTAATGTTTTAAGAGTTGCAGATTAATAACTTAAACTCCTCACCGTTGTGCTGGAAGTCGGCGGTCCTCAAAGTGCCTTGAATGCAGTGCTGAGGGGGCGGGGCTACAGGAGGAGGGGAAGTCTGCTTCATCCTGATTGGTTTAGAGACAGGACTGACAGTTGGCTTGTTGTCGGGGGATGAGGCAGATGTTTTGGAGCGGGCGGAGTTATGTTCAGACCACGCCTCCTTCGGGGGGATCTGCATAGCAACTGTAGTCTCCGCCCCCGCTGCCATGGAAACAGAGGAGCCACATCTCTGGACACAACAACAAATCAGAAACTAATATATGTTATTAAGTAATATAATATATATAATTAAAATAATATAACTGAATGATATGTAAACATAATATAGTTTAATTTAATTCTATATCATGTACAAAAATATGTTCTAAATAATATTATAATATATAATATAATATACTTGAATTAAATGTAATACAGCTTAGTCTAATGTAATATAATTAAATATAAAATAATATATTGTAATAAAATAATTTAATATGATATAATTTCATATAATATCATAAAATAAAATATTATAGAAGATAATGTTGTATAATTGAATGCAACATAATATACTGTAGCAGCAATTAGAACAAGTATACAGTATTTTAATGTTTGATTATAATATCACCTGTTTGTTTGTTGATGATACATCACCGCTCTTCATTTTTCCCACCAGTATAGCGCCTCCTGGAGGACAAACAGAGGTCAGAGGTCACACTGAGGGGTGTGTGTGTGTGTGTGTGTGTGTGTGTGTGTGTGTGTGTGTGTGTGTGTGTGTGTGTGTGTGTGTGTGTGTGTGTGTGTGTACCGGTGGCAGGTGTGGTGAGATCATGGTGAGTTCTCTGAGTCGGTCGTATCTTCAGCCTCGGAGTCGGTAACCTTCCCTCCTCCCTACGCACACACACACACACACACACACAATACGCGGTTAATCTTCTGCGGTCGGAAAGAGTATTTTTTAACGGCTTCTTAATCCACTTTACAAGAGTAGTATTAAGAGTACAGATTTCTTCTAGATCTTACTCGTCTGTTTCTTCTTCTTCTCCCCAGACCGAACGTCTCTCAGGAGTTTTAGTTCTTCCTGAAGCTGACGACCTCTGACTGGAGTGACTGGAGTGACTGGAGTGACTGGAGTGACTGCAAACAAAAACACATTTAGACATCAGCAGATAGAGAAGATTTCCCATGATGCTCTCTGACGTCTCACCTGTTGAGCTCCAGAGCCTCCACAGGTGACGGGGGGTCAGAGGTCAGAGAATGAGGGTGAGGGGAGGGGGGGTAAGAGCAAGAGCTGGCTGCCTCCCACAGAGCGTTGTGATTGGACAGCAGCTGGCTCAGGTGGTCTCTACAGAAGTTCGATCCCCACGCCCGACGACGGTACGACATCGCCTGCTGCCGCAACTCCTCCACCTGCAGGGAGAGTCCGTTTGATTAAACAATAAGTATTACAAATCATTATTATTATTATTGGTTTTCAGTTGCTATAGAGTGGCGAAGTCCCTCCCCTTCCGGTGGACCTCCATGGGACCTTATTTCGGAAAAATTATGTATTGAAGTCAATGGAGAGAGAAAGATTATCTTTCGATCCCGTTTGAATTGTGCCACGAATTACACATATGATGTTTGTCAATTTAAAAGATAATTTTGCAAGTCAAAAAAAAAAAATGTATCGTAAAACTGTGAAGTAACACTTTTGTTTGTGTGAAACGCTAAATGAACTACATCTCTGGTCAACAACACACGTCACCAAGATGGCCGTCACTGCTGTCTTGTCAACAAAACGATTGACTACCCTCACTATCACCACAATGAAACACGTCCTGAAGAATGTCATGCAAAGCTGCCTGCCTTCCTTTGATTCTCTCTGAACTGCCTGGTCGTTTTAATGTTTAATGTCAACCATTTGTGCAGATAGCATGAAGTAGAGAAGATCGCTAGCGTTAGCGTTAGCATTTCTCCCCCGGGCTTAAATGGTGTATTATAGAATGACCACACCGGTGACAGTACTCTTCAAAGGGTTCACGAAATATGACTACTACTCTTACTGTTTAACATGTTGGGTTACTCAATGTTACTTCATGTTAAGGCTAATAAAAATGACAAGGCTGTAATGCTAACTAACGTGCTAGCTACTAGCTAGGTAGCTAACTTGATCAAGCCACTCCTGGTCCTTTCATCAGACGGGAAGCAAAAGAACGAGCAAGACCCATTGCTGGTATAATAACAACCTGGTACTAAGCACACAGGCATCTTGTTAAAGTTATCTTATCTTAGCCAGCGCCATATAGATAGATTATATCTATATGGAGCTGATCTTAGCTATCTCTTAGTGGAGGAAAACAATTGTGACATCACTTACGCGACTCTGGGATTTGTAGTCTTTCTAGTTGCGTATTTTTCATAGTCTTATATTTCAACAGTTTTACGACAAACTGTGACTTTTTTGACATGGAAATGATTTTTTAAGATTGACAAACATCAGATGTGTAATTCATGGCACAATTCAAACGGGATCGAAAGATAAGTTTTCTCTCTCCATTGACTTCAATACATCATTTTTCCGAAATAAGGTCCCATGGACCGGAAGTAGATGGGCGTGACTTCGCCACTCTATGGATCAGGGGTGTCAAACCCAATTTCATCACGGGCCACATCAGCATTAAGGTTGGAACTTTAAGACTATATAAATATACATATAAAATAATGTATTATATCAGATTACTGCCTCTGCATTGGATGATTATCAGATAGGGTAATGACTTCATGATTAACTACGTCTGAAAGCAGAAGTCTAGGGCAACAAAAAAAAAGGGGGTTATTACGTTTGTGAAATCACATCTCATCAAAACTGAATCCAGGTCAGATCAGAGTGTTTCTGTAATTACTGAGTGATCCAGGTAACGGTAACCTGACCCTGACCCCGGGTAACCCCAAAAAAAACTCACACACAGATACCTGACGCTGCACACACACAGTCACACACACACACACACACACACACACACAGTCACACACACACTTCCTCGGTTCCTCTGAAACACGTCAGCTTCACATTAGAGCCTCACCACAGGGAGGAAAGTGACAGATCGCCCCCAGATTCAGAGATCATGACCTCATCTCCGCTCTGCTCATACTATCTATATTAATATTACCTATTTTATATATATTTATTACACTGTCTATAATATGTCAATCTGATCTACAGTGTACTTATAATTATACTATTGAATCAGAATACTTTATTTATCTCGATATAAATTGGATTTCATGACTTTTTTTCTGTTTGCAACTTATTGATCTAATATATCAAATTCCAGTTACTTGTATATCGACTCAGCTCGCACTATTTCTATTCTATTTGATTGTATTTACTTGCAGTATTGTATCTGTGTTATTGTGTTGCTCTGTTGGAGGAGCCTGTGACCCTGACATGTAGCTATGCACACATGACAATGTGTATAATAGGGATAGTGGTGGTCTAATGCAGTGGTTCTCAAATGGGGGTACGCGGACCCCTAGGGGTACGTTGGAGTACTGCAGGGGGTACGCGGACCCCTAGGGGTACGTTGGAGTACTGCAGGGGGTACGCGGACCCCTAGGGGTACGTTGGAGTACTGCAGGGGGTACGCGGACCCCTAGGGGTACGTTGGAGTACTGCAGGGGGTACGCGGACCCCTAGGGGTACGTTGGAGTACTGCAGGGGATACGTGAGATTTCTTTTATGTTAATTAAATAAGAAAAGTAAGGAAGTTTGAGCAGTGTGGGTTTTATATGAACAGAGTTACACATATTTCAAAAGCGAAGTGTAATAACTGCAGTGGCCTTCCTGTCACTGAGAATAACAAAGATCCTCAGTGAAGCACAAGCCCATGTTTCTCACTAAATTGTAAGTACAACTTATTAAAAAGATCAGTTCAATGCAACTAATGTCGTCTTAGCGTTATTACATGATGTTAAAATTGGTTTCCATGAATTTAGTGATGGATTGTAAACATTTGAAATGTAGCATTTAAGTGTTTCTCAGTTACAAGGTTGTTGTTTTAATAAATCACACACCGATGGTGCAGCGCTGTACTGTACCTCTTTATATAAGGCATTTTTTCCCTAACAAATTGTTTTTGCGCTGATCAGGGGGTACTTGGCTGAATCTTTTTTTCAAAGGGGGTACATTATTGAAAAAAGTTTGAGAAGCACTGATCTAATGGATAGTGAGGTGGGCTGAAGATCGGAAGGTTGTGAGCCTGGAACACCACCACTAGTGTGCCCTTGAGTAAGGCACTTAGGCCTCAGTTACTCCAGGGAGAATGTCCCTGTAATTGGTCATTGTAAGTCGCTTTGGATAAAAGCGTCAGCTAAATGAAATGTAATGACAATAAAAGCCTTGAATCTTGAATCTTTTCAAATCCCTTTGTCTGATGTTGAAGTTGTTTTAAACCTGCTTAAAAAGGGTTTCTAATATGTTCTTTCAATAAGAGCAACAGGTAGGTGTAGGTGTTCTTCAAACATCAAACAACCGTATTCAAAATGACCTCTCGAGTACTTTAAAGGCTTTAAGAGCGAACACCTTCCAGTAGTTTGATCACACAAACTAATTAAAGGGTTCATTCCTCCGTGGCATTCTCCCAGGTATCACCCAATGAACGGATATCAGCAGATCGTTGGAAGGAAACTCAGATTGGTTTTTGATTTTGAAGTGTTTGGCACGAAAACTAAAACGCCATGACCCACAGCCAGAAAGTGTGAAAATATTCTTTAGATATCAGGGACACAAATGTAAAAGTGACATTTGTAGAATTGTTTGTCCTGCACAGGTTAAAGGGATCTCCTTCATGTCGTTTGCATGAACTTTTCAGCCAGTAAAAGTGTTTCATCTTGCAAGGTAGCTACCCCTTACTCATACGACACTTTCCACCTACCTGTGTGTGTGTGTGCGTGTGCGTGTGTGTGCGTGTGCGTGTGTGTGTGTGTGAGACAGGATTTTGACAGAGTTTCAGTGTGTGTGTGTGTGTGTGTGTGTGTGTGTGTGAGACAGGATTTTGACAGAGTTTCAGTGTGTGTGTGTGTGTGTGTGTGTGACAGGATTTTGACAGAGTTTCAGTGTGTGTGTGTGTGACAGGATTTTGACAGAGTTTCAGTGTGTGTGTGTGTGTGTGTGTGTGTGTGTGACTAACAGAGAGTTGTTTCCCTGAAATGAAGCTCTGTGGTTTTACCGCTGACACTCAGCACTCTAGTTTTCCATCAGCAAAACACACACACACACACACACACACACACACACACACACACACACACACACACACACACACACACACACACACACACACACACCACACACACACACACACACACACCACACACACACACACCACACACACACACACACACACACACACACACACACACACACACACACACACACACACACACACACACACACACACACACACACACACACACACAACAGAAAGTTGATCTCAAATCCCCCTGAGCACCACATCAGAGGAACTGATAACTGCCAGATCAACCGTCCACCACAGTTGGATTCTAGATAACAACAAGCAAGAGTGCAATGAACCGGATTGAGATATCTTCCTCCTCTGATCCATAGAGCACGTCTGTTACAAACACATCAATGAAACACTCACTGACATGTTCCTTCATTACCGCGTGAACACACACACACTCTCTCACACACACACACACACACACACACACACACACACACACACACACACACACACACACACACACACACACACACACACACACACACACACACACACACACACACACACACACACACACACACACACACACACACACACACACACACACAACACACACACACACACACACACACACACACACACACACACACACACACACACAGTTAAAGTTGGATAATTAAGTCAGAAAATACAATCAATCTGAAATCTAATCAAGTGTTAAATCAGACTTTAGTTCCACCTGGAGTAAATCCACAAGCTACCCTGCAGTATACAAAGTCATTCAAACTAGCTGCACCTTTACCAGCTTTGAGAACACTTTCATGATCAATCATTATAAAACATATCATATATATTATTCTGAAATGGACCAATCTGCACAATCACTACTTTTACTGTCGCTACTTTAGCTATATTTTGATGAGAATACTTTTATACTTTTACTTGAGGAATATTTTGAATGCAGGACTTTTACTGTAACAGAGTATTCCTACACTCTGGTACTTCTACTTTTACTCAAGTACAAGATCTGAGTACTTCTACTTTTACTCAAGGACAAGATCTGAGTACTTCTACTTTTACTCAAGTACAAGACCTGAGTACTTCTACTTTTACTCAAGTACAAGATCTGAGTACTTCTACTTTTACTCAAGTACATGATCTGAGTACTTCTACTTTTACTCAAGTACAAGATCTGAGTACTTCTACTTTTACTCAAGTACAAGATCTGAGTACTTCTACTTTTACTCAAGTACAAGACCTGAGTACTTCTACTTTTACTCAAGTACAAGATCTGAGTACTTCTACTTTTATTCAAGTACAAGATCTGAGTACTTCTACTTTTACTCAAGTACATGATCTGAGTACTTCTACTTTTACTCAAGTACAAGATCTGAGTACTTCTACTTTGACTCAAGTACAAGATCTGAGTACTTCTACTTTTACTCAAGTACAAGATCTGAGTACTTCTACTTTTACTCCAGTACAAGATCTGAGTACTTCTACTTTTACTCAAGTACAAGACCTGAGTACTTCTACTTTTACTCAAGTACAAGATCTGATTACTTCTACTTTTACTAAAGTACAAGACCTGAGTACTTCTACTTTTACTCAAGTACAAGATCTGAGTACTTCTACTTTTACTAAAGTACAAGATCTGAGTACTTCTACTTTGACTCAAGTACAAGATCTGAGTACTTCTACTTTTACTCAAGTACAAGATCTGAGTACTTCTACTTTTACTCCAGTACAAGATCTGAGTACTTCTACTATTACTCAAGTACAAGACCTGAGTACTTCTACTTTTACTCAAGTACAAGATCTGATTACTTCTACTTTTACTAAAGTACAAGACCTGAGTACTTCTACTTTTACTCAAGTACAAGATCTGAGTACTTCTACTTTTACTAAAGTACAAGATCTGAGTACTTCTACTTTTACTCAAGTACAAGACCTGAGTACTTCTACTTTTACTCAAGTACAAGACCTGAGTACTTCTACTTTTACTCAAGTACAAGACCTGAGTACTTCTACTTTTACTCAAGTACAAGATCTGAGTACTTCTACTTTTACTCAAGTACAAGACCTGAGTACTTCTACTTTTACTCAAGTACAAGATCTGAGAACTTCTACTTTTACTCAAGTACAAGACCTGAGTACTTCTACTTTTACTCAAGTACATGATCTGAGTACTTCTACTTTTACTCAAGTACAAGATCTGAGTACTTCTACTTTTACTCAAGTACAAGATCTGAGTACTTCTACTTTTACTCAAGAACAAGATCTGAGTACTTCTACTTTTACTCAAGAACAAGACCTGAGTACTTCTACTTTTACTCAAGAACAAGACCTGAGTACTTCTACTTTTACTCAAGTACAAGATCTGAGTACTTCTACTTTTACTCAAGTATAAGACCGTTGAATATTTGAACCTCTTAAATTAGAGGATTTCTTTCTTATAAACTAAATATTTCTGGTTGTTTAGCAGGAAACTAGACATTTAGAGGTCACATTTGGCGCTGTGAATGTGATGGACACTGTTTGCTGTTTCATAGATTCATGATGGATCAGAATGAAATAAATCTGTGTTTGCAGCGATGTTTTAAAGGTCGCCTATTATGCAAGTCCTCTTCTTCATGTCTCTTCTACATCAACATGTGTCCCCTCTTCTTCATGTCTCTTCTACATCAACATGTGTCCCCTCTTCTTCATGTCTCTTCTACATCAACATGTGTCCCCTCTTCTTCATGTCTCTTCTACATCAACATGTGTCCCCTCTTCTTCATGTCTCTTCTACATCAACATGTGTCCCCTCTTCTTCATGTCTCTTCTACATCAACATGTGTCCCCTCTTCTTCATGTCTCTTCTACATCAACATGTGTCCCCTCTTCTTCATGTCTCTTCTACATCAACATGTGTCCCCTCTTCTTCATGTCTCTTCTACATCAACATGTGTCCCCTCTTCTTCATGTCTCTTCTTCATCAACATGTGTCCCCTCTTCTTCATGTCTCTTCTACATCAACATGTGTCCCCTCTTCTTCATGTCTCTTCTACATCAACATGTGTCCCCTCTTCTTCATGTCTCTTCTACATCAACATGTGTCCCCTCTTCTTCATGTCTCTTCTTCATCAACATGTGTCCCCTCTGTGTAAAGAGACTCTGAACGTTTCAGGAACAAAGATTCTCTCTCTTTTTGTCCTGATCCATTTCTATAAAAACCTGTCTGAAAATGAGCTGATCAGATTTTGGCCACTTGATGATGTCATCACGATGTTTTGTCTTGTGTAATCTAAAGTAACAGACAGAGAATCAGCACTTTGGAAACAGGGCTGAAACAGAGGGGATTATGGGTAATGCTGCAATGATCTGTTTGGTGTTTCAGCCAATCAGAGACAGGCTCTGGATATATCTGAGACCTGTGATATATTGATGAAGAAGAGTATGATAGGGGACCTTTAATTGAAATGAATCTGTGTTTGCAGCGGTGTTTTAAGTCATGGTTATTAAGATGTCCTCTGACCTGACGGGCGTCTCGGTCCGAGGCTCCGTTTCTCTCGGGGATTCTGCAGAGAGGAGAAGAACAGCTGGAATGAAACTCTGTCAAAATCCTGTCTCTCACTCACACTCACACTCACACTCTCACACTCTCACTCTCACTCACGCTCTCGCACTCGCTCTCGCACTCACTCTCACTCTCACTCTCACTCTCACTCTCCACCCCTCTCCTCTCACTACTCAACTCTCACTCTCACTGTCTACCCTTAGCTCATCTCAATTCTCTCAGAGACGTCCTCGATCTCTCTCATCTACTCTCCCTGCTTAGTACTCCTCTCACTCTCAACTCCTCCTCTGGCACGGTTCGGGTTCACTCTCACTCACTCTCACTCCAACTCTCACTCTCAAAAAAAACTCTCACTCTCACACTCACTCTCACTCACTCTCACACTCACTCTCACTCTCACACTCACTCGCTCGTCACACTCCTCCTCACTTCACACACTCACATGCTACTCACTCCACTCCTCACAGCTCAACTCCTCTCACTGCTCACA